TGGTATAGGGATAGATTTGTATTGGTTGCTTCCTTTTTAAAATTTAGTGTTTTTGTAAACTTCCAAGTCTTGAACATCAAAAAAAAAAAAAAAAAAAAAAAACTTGAAAACAGTGGAAGATCATTCCAAAAGGCCTAGACAGAGTCATCTGGAATGATTGAGCACATTGGGAAAGTGTCATGTATCCTGTATAGTGTAAATGTTGTGTGTCACACATCAAGAGTCAGACAGCATTTTGATATCAACCACAAAAGTGTTGCCAAACTTGGTGAAAGTGAAAGAAAAGAGTTTCTTTTGGGGGTTTTGTTTGTTTGTTTGTTTTTATTTTGAGACAGGGCCTTACTATGTAGTTGAGACTGATCTGGAACACACTATGTAGTCCAGGCAGGTCTCAAACTCACAGCAATCCTCCTGCCTCAGCCTTCCCTTTTCTTGAAGGGAAGTTGAGGAAATATCATTCCCAATATCATAGTTTTTGCATTTATCGTCCTAAAACAAATCATCTGACAGCTATCAGCTTTCAAATTTTACTGTGCACAGCAAAACAAAGCCCTCTCTGATGGGGATTTTATCAAAATGGCCATGTTGTCTGGGAGTAATTCCCTTTTTCATGATCTCCCAAACAAGGATAAAATTATGCAACGCATCTCTGAGATGCCAACTTAGCAGAAATACTGTTAAGGACTGAGTCCTGCACGTGGCAAGTGATGTTAGTCAGCAGCTCACCACTGACTTACAAAGGGCAGCCTGTTACTCCATGTGCTTGGATGAAAGTGCAGATATAAATAATCACTCAAGGTTAGGAGTAATTTTGTGTTATGTTGTTGGTGACATCATGAGAGAAGAGCTCATGAAACTGGTGTCTTTGCCTGGAAAAACACAAGGGATTGGTATCAACAATGCTGTGATGGAGGCTTTTTTGTCATAAGACGTAAGACCAGAAAAAGTGGTTTCAGTTACTAATGATGGGACCTTGCATAGCAAAGTTTCATACAGTTCTTAGTTAAAGAAGCAAAACATCTAGTCATTTGGTTTAATTGTATTATAAATAAAGAAGCTCTTTGTGCCAGGGAAAGCAGCAAAAAATTGGATGATATCCTCAAAGAATTCACAAAAAAATGATGAATTACATCATGGCTTATGCTCTTATTTTCAACAGTTTCAAGCACTTCTTGATGAGATTCAGCCACAGTATAAAACTTTACTAATATTCAATGTCCAGTGGCTAAGCAGAGGATGAGTTCTGGGAAGATGTGTAGCCCGCTTGAATAAAATTAGGCTGTTTATGAATGGAAAAGGAAAGGAATATTCACAGCTCACTGATATGGCCTTGTTTAACAACTTCATGATTTTCTTTTTTACTGGGGATTACACTCAGGACCTTGCACTTGCGAGGCAGGCAGTACAACCACTGAGCCAAATCCCCAGCCCCAATCATCATGATTTTTATAGTCTTTACATTACATTTCAATGTACTGATCAACAACAACAACAAAAAACAACTATAAGGTATTGGCAAAACAGCAGAAAAGATGTTCTGTGATATCAAAACATTTGAGAGAAAACTTCAGGTTTTTGAAAGAGACCTTGAAAATGTGCAGCTAAAATATTTTCCAAACCTAAAAATTCACTTAGAAAATTCTACATTTGCAGTCAATTCTATAAGCCATTAAGAAATCTACAAGGAAATTTCTAGAATTATCATAGCTGCAAAAGAAACAGATTTTTACAGTTCTATAACATGAAAATAACCCTGTGTTGAGCTAGGGATTTAGCTCAGTGGTTCCACTGCCTGCCTTGCAAGCGTAGGGACCTGAGTTTGATCCCCAGTACCAAAAAAAAAAAATCCCTGTGTTTTCTTACTTCTCTGGATGGAATCAAATTTAAAGAACTTGATTTTTCCTACTTATACTGCTTAGATTTTGTAAATCTGGAAATGGAGCTATTGGAATTTCAAGAAAGCTCTATATGGAAAAATAAACTCTGTAACTTGTGTGCAACACTTGAGAAAAAAGAGTGTTAAGGACAAAGGACAGCACAGTTGATAGTGCTGAAAATGAAATCCTTAAAATGTGGAATTCTGTGCCAAATAACTTTAAGTCAATGAAAGCACTTGGGATTGCTTTCCTTATTTTGTTTGGATCATCTTATGCTTGTAAGCAGCTGTGTTCAGCTTTGGCTTATACCAAATCCTGTGCAAAAAACAGACTAACAACCTGAGTACTGCACGTGTTGCTCTCCAACTAACAAAGTATGAGCCAAGGTTTGACAAATTATCAGCACGCATATGACAGCAAAGGTCACATTAATCATGCAAAAGCATAACACATGCAAACTTCTACCTTTCAGTGAAAATCCCCTTGTATCATTGAAAGTTCTGTTATTGTTTTTATTTTATGACAAATGATGTTGATATATGAGCTATTTTTTTCTTAACTGAAACCTCAGTATTCAGATTTAATCGAGGTTGGCACTTTGTGACAAATAAGCGGGTTTGGGCACTCGTGTCTAAAAGGTTACCCATCACTGCCCTAGTGCCTTCAGAGACAGCCCTGTCCTGCAGACATTCTCATCTCAGAGTACTAGCCTCTAGCACTTCTGTCGTTAAAGCAACCCAGTGTACAATACTTTTGTATGCCAGTCCTGGGAAACTAATATACCCATATCTAAGGATTCTTCTCAAGTAGTCTTGTGTAAATGATCAACATGAACCATTCACATACAATGGCTCATAAATTTTTGTGAGGAATTTGTTATACAAATGCTTTAGAACGTTTAATCCCGAATAACACAGAAGGTTTAAGAAGAGAAAATATTTTCACTACTTCCTGCAAGTATTTACAGCTAGAGGTTAGAACAGATGTAAGAAAGCTGAAACCAACTGGGAAAAAAGCTAGAATATGAACCCAAACAATTCTTACAAGAAGGCAATTATTTATTTCATTTTATGAAAAGAATAGTTCTGGGATATATTTGACTACTAATCTCAAATGCACTACTTTTTAAAAGAGCAGTAGTAACATCTAAAATGTGAGACTCTCTCCTTTTTTTTCCAAATCAAGGATGTTGGATGAGATGTCCTTCCCTCCCAAGGTCATTTTATCATTCTGTGCTTCATGATTTTGTATCCTTGGGATTCTTGTTAAAAAATTTAATGTCTCCTACAGGACAAACTGAACATTAATAACATTAATCAGGAAATTCTTCGGAGAAAAAAGAAACTGCATTTTTACCACCTTCTTTTCAACACGTCAAATGCCTAAATGCGGTAAACTAGGTTCCTCTGGATTCTGAATATATATTCCAAGATAACAGCTCTTGCTCACTCACTCTTCTCCAACCAGTTTCATACATTCTTTAAATCAAGAGAATGTGAAGGGAGGGCAGAAGTACGGGGAAAAAATAAGAATTAGGATGCAAGATCCTAAAGGTTAAATGTAACTGTATTGTTTGCTTTAAATGTACCAATAAATTTAATTGGAAAAAATAAATAAAATAGAATTTAAATAAAATAAATCAAAGAATGTGATTTATAAAAATATTACATACAACCGTGGCCCTTTAATAAACCATTTTTCTTCTCTCTTGTCCTCAGATTAAAACAGGTCACTTTTGAGCATCATCTACTAGACCTTTAAAAGTTCTGCCCCAGAGCCTTCCCTCTCCCCTGAAAGGTCCACCTGAGTGACAATATTTGGGGCAAAATCAGAAGGTTAAAACTGATTCCATCTCCAAATCCAAAACAGAAACCTTAGGAATTGTCATTGATTGTCCAGTAACAAAATGAATATTCATTCTATTAAGTACTAAAGCAGGACAGGGGTAGGTAATATTTTTGGCTATTTGTATCCTGATCATATTCATTAATCAGGTGTGACTTAAAGAATAAATCTGAAGAACATTCTTGTTTCGCTACAAGATTTTGGTCTCAAAACTTAACTAATTTGATTATAGTTTTTCATTATTTTCTGGATCTAAGAGAGCCCCCCAAAGTCTGCAGTTTATTAATAACCCTTTCATAAATGTAATGCAACTGTCTTTAACACCTCCAAGAACATTCAAAAGTGCTCTCTCTGCTCCAGTTAGAAAATGCCAGGGAATTCCAAAAATAGAAAACATCGACCAGGGTATTTAGTAGTAGATTGACAGAACTCGGCTCAGACCTGTGAAGCAAAAGTCTTCCAACTGTGGTTTTACTTCAAGGCCAACTGTGGTTTTGCACTGTGTTGAAGTGCTTTCGGGTGATTTTTATTAAAGGAAATTTACAACATTGTGAGAACTGTGGCTTTCTATAAGAACTATTAGATTATCTCCAGGCAGCAAAACCCAGTGAGAAAGTCAAGATCACCTTTTCAACTCTCATGCTCTGCTGAATCACAACAGGGAACGCAGGGGGAAAGCAGCTGGTCTCTAGGTACTGATTCAGGAGGTAGACCCCGAGGTACACATCTTGCTTGTGGGGCAGGAACACTCCGGGGCAAGAAACCTTAAAAAGAAACAAAACAAAGTGAAAAGGCAAGCAGGGCGTTTTGTTTTGCTTCGAACGGGGCTCTATTTGTCTTCACCTCTCACAGACCCTGAAATGAAGTCCTCAAGGGCGCTCCGGTACCTGTAGTCGCAGCACCAACAGCCTCCCGCCTCCACAGACTGAAAAATTCCGACCCGCTCCGGGTCTCCGCCAGGTGTCACAGTCGCGCTCCCGGCTGCTCTCCCCGCCCCTCCAGGA